TTGTCCCCCTAGTTTTCCCCCTTTGCCAATTTCGCTGTTTTTGGTCTCATGCGATGCGTCTATTTGTCCTCTATCCAATGAAACCAAAAACAGCGAAATTGATAAATTCTGCGTCGAGAAAAATCCAAAATGCCTCTGGCAAAGGGGGAAAACTAGGGAGACAAAAGGTGGACAAGGGGCAGGGGACACCGAAATGTATATTATAGTAAACGTTTGAGAATGATGCAAATTGAGTCACAAATAGATACGATAGCATATTTAAATCTAAATTAGTCAAAAGTCAAAATCTTTAAAGATAAGCACTTAAATGCAAGGCAAAAATCAATGCATTTAAAGCAAAAAAGCAAAAATGAAAAGGATTCTAAAGGAGTCAAAAGAATTTGACCAATTTATCCATAGAGAAATACAGAAACCTTTCTCAAAAGCAGTCCACATGTGGGCACCAATTATAAATAAGAGTCGAGGACACGGATGGATGTGGGAAGGGAAGGGTTGGGGTGTCTAGGGAGGGGTAGGGTACCCAGAGAATGGTAGGGTACCCAGAGAATGGTAGGGTACCAAGGGAAGGGTACAGGTGGGCCCACAACTGCCCCCATTCCATTCATAAATCCTTTCTGGCAAAGGGTAGACACAAAATTACAATTGCACTCCCAAGTACCGTCAAGTAAACCGATAAACTGTTTATGAAAGTGTAAGTATGGATGTGTGTGTTTATGAAAGCTTTCCAATTGGACGTTCCAATCAGATGATTTCGATTTGAAGGAAAAAAAATCAACTTTGGTTTCATCAACAAAAATTATACAGTATTACGGTATAATGAAGACAATACTCTGAACCCAATGCATAAACTCGATACACTACTTGCACTGAACCGAACCTCAAGCAGACATGGTTACGGTACAAATGAATCTTATCGGATTACGGTAACAGACATCTTATTGAACAAAACAGACAGAACAGACAGAACAGACAGACAGACAGACAGACAGACAGACAGACAGACAGACAGACAGACAGACAGACAGACAGACAGACAGACAGACAGACAGACAGACAGACAGACAGAGAGACAGAATGAATCTTATTGGTACAGACGGATTACGGTATGAGTACAGTAACGGAAATTCGATTGAGTATGGTAAAATCTAGCTCAAAAAAGATCAAACTCTGAAAAAGTGCTCATGAATTTTACCATCTTACCAAATTTTTTGTCTACAATACTCAATCATAAACCTATCAATGCACAAAAAGATGCACTCAAAAACTTCTCAAAGGTAAACAGCATGAGGGTGCAGAGGTGAGAGAATGGTAGAATAAGTGTGCATAGAAAAGACAAGGCCAGTCCAAGGAGGCCATTCTATTGTACTCTCGAGAAACGAGATAAAAGAACAGATATTCAATGAGAGAGATTCAATGAGAGATCTTTCAATGAGAGATCTTTCAATGAAGAGTGGGACCTTCACAGGGTACGAGTTAGGCTGTCTCTAAAAAAGAAGGCGCATTGACCGAGGATAATGAGTTTTTGAGGGATGAAACAAAAAAAGAACCTCGTACCTGACCGCGCACAAAAAAAGGGTTTGACCTTACTAAAGTATAGAGTTGCGGGACTTAATCGTTTAGCGTAAAATAGAAAAAAAAACTACGGTAGCACATTTAGGAACCTTAAAAAGAATTATTGAGTTGGTGAATTGAAAACTGCGGGACTTTGAACTAAAATTTATTCAACATAAAACCATCAATTCATTCCAAATAATTTCCATTATTATTGACGACTTCTGTCCATTTTACAGGCAATTTACGGATTCCTCTTTCGTAGTAGGGCTTTGGTTTGTGTGTGAGACAAGTGTGAGACTCAAAAATGGAGGAATGTCCCAGTTTGAGCACTTTCTTCAAAAGAAACCCATTTTGGTGTCAATGGAAAAGTTGTAGAGAATCAAAAATGAGGCTTATAGCCAAATTTCCAAAAGATACACTTAGTAGTTTCCCTTAATGCAAGTTTTCTGAATTTTGAGAAAATTTGTAATAATTTGGCATTTCTTGAGAAACCAGTTTTTGAATCGTTCTGAAAATTTGGATATAAGCTTGATTTTTGATTCTCTACAACTTTTCCATTGACACCAAAATGGGTTTCTTTTGAAGAAAGTACTCAAACTGTCACATATGACAATAGCTGGCAGTTTTCAATTCACCAATCCAATATATCAAACATATAATAAAGGTTATTCAGCATCAACTTTAGCGATAATAAAGTTTATCTACTGGTTACTGTAGTTTAGGTACTTTAATCAAGAATTTTAGCCGTTATTAGTTATTAGTTATTAGTAACCAAGTTATTCGCTTATTTCTTCTTTATAAATTATAAAAGGATTACCACATTTATTCACAAAATATCCCATTTACACATTCTTCTTGTCGATCGTTGTGGCAGGCAAGAGCATCTTTAGTTCGTCCTTTGTACGAGCGAAATCGAGCAGTGCCTAAAATGAAAATTGTTTTGAAA